AAAAACACCGTGTGCTAGAGCGATGTCTGCTCGTCGTAAGGTCAACACAACTTCTTCACACCCACTGTACAGCATCATTGACTGTGTTCCGCCGCTAATTGTAGTCTTCCTGTTGTGTATGTACTGTGCAAGCGAGCTATTGCTAACATAACTGGATTTAGTTGTACATCTGCTGCTGATTTCGAGCCGGCACGTCGATTTTTTCGGGAAGTCGGAGACACTTTGTTGCGCGAGGTCAATGGTGAGCTCGTGTAGTGTGGGACGTTCCGCATTTTTTTTTTTTTCTCCCATCATTGGACTCTGTCGTCTGCCCCCCTGGCCCCTATCTTCCACTTCTACTAGCTAGACGACCCAACCAGGGTCACATAGGAGGGGGGGGCTGGACCCCCCCGCCTGCGGTTCCTGCCTGAGGTATTTTTATCGCGAGAATATGTGTAGCCCGGTACAAGCTGCTATATACGCCCGAAGTGTCTACTTTCAATCGTTTGTTATGTCTCCAGAACCCTCGTCCTCTAGTTGCGCCACTTTTTCATTTGCGTCGCACGTGAGCGTTGGCTGTGTCACGGAGTCAAGAGCAACATTGCTGGCCCTTTGTAGTTGGATGGCCTGCTTTGGTATGTCATAGTGCACGGTCACTCGCCTGCTAGACACTGGCAACCCAGAGCTCGAATTTGAGGTGGTATGCTGCTAGCGTTACTGTGCTTCTAGCTGCACTTTCGATCGCCCTTCTGGCAGCAACGCCGTGAATCTGCAACTTGTGTTCGTGGTGGTTGTCACTAAGCCTTTCTGCCTACTTTGCCAGGACATCATAATCATTCGCGTTCCTGACTGGCTCGTTCATCTGCTGAGAATATCAGCTCCAAAATGGGGGCTTTGCAACGTACACTCCATAATGTTCTGGTTGCTCTGCTGGGTGAAGATTGTTTTCGTGTCGTTCCTTTCGGAGCCCTTCTTAAGGTGGTGTACCTTTCCTGGTACCAACGCGTTGTTTCAACGTACTGCACTGACGGAATGCTTGCGTCATGCTCTGGCTTTGTTCCACTGATCGATGGAGTTAAGCATGCCTTCATTTCGTCCCTCGTGTTCATGTATTCGAGTGTGCAGATGCCTTTCTTGTTTCGGATGCAACTAACTCAAGCTGGCGTCGCGTGTTTCTCACTGTTCGTTCAGACATGTTTACAACGGCGTCGTGCAGCATATTTTGCTCGTGGGGTTCGGTGCAATGCGTGAAAGTTCTGCATGAACCTTGCGTTTGCGGGGTATATATTAGGAGGCGGTACGAGCACCTCTGGCCGAGAAGGGTCATGCTATCACTTCTCTAAGCTCGTATTTTGCGCGTGCTCGTGATAGCACATGTCATGCCTGAATGTTTTGTGCGAGTGTTTATCGCGTGTTCATGATCGAGCATGGAAATTGCCTTACCTTTGTCTACGAAAGGTTCTTGCGCGTTCTCGATCGTGTCCACGCACGTCGGTTCACGGCTCACGATGCTCACGATGATGGGGACGTCCAAGTGGTGTGGGGCATGCTCGCGTGCACAATGATGTGCGGGACTAGCGTTTGGTTGAGACCATCTGCGAATCCAACTGGCCTGTGGGTGTTTCACGTGTTCTGATTGATTCGTTCTTGTAATGACGCTTCGAGTGAGTTTGACGAACTGGACAGATTTAGTAGGAAATTTCGTGGGCATATATTTGCTGTTTCTGGATGTCATGATATGTTTCGGACTGATTGATGCTGTGATGTGTTTCAGGTTTGGACTGTTGGTTCAAGAGACAGCAGTGATGATGTTGAATAAAAAAAAAAAAGTTGGCGTGATTCACCATACTACAACACCTTATGTAGGCCGTACCTGTAACAAAGGTTTGGCGTGATACGGCATACATCCTACATAGTACAGACTTTGCGCTTGTCCTACTGTGGTTGATGTACCCTTCATCGTTCTGGGCATTGTTGCCGTAGATGCTTTTGAGACTTGATGTTTGTTTAAGGCTCCATTTTCTTTTGCGTACAAGGCTGTGATGCTTGTTGTTGCTTACGCGATTTGACAATTTATGGCGAGTTTGTCATTCAACAGTCGCATTTTCTTCGTGCTTGGCCTGAAGTCCGAGCTGATGTTGCTTTCAATGCTCTTTTTTGTTGGAAGTGCGCTTTGTGGGCGTTGTGAACCAGCCCCCTTCGGGTCTCGGGGGTGTGGTACTGCACCCCAGAGCCGATTGAGATCCGGCAAAAAAACCAAGGAAATGGTCTATCCAGATGTTTCCGTCGTCCTGCGATTCCTCTTTGCTGAGTAATAGGTTAGTCCGAGGTGTTTGTGGACCGGGCTATGCTAGGGGCCCAGATATGGTAGGTCGAGATGCTGTGTGGAAGAAGCTAAAGAGACGCTCATTGAAAATGTTCACACATCTCTCACCTTCGTAGCTTAGTGCAGTTCGTGCGTAGACCGTTTCCTCGCAGTCGGGTATTGGCGCGGAATCATACCTTCATCTACTCCTCAATTCAGGCGATTTCCTTCTCTTCTTGTCCGGTGATCGACAAGTAGTGTACAACTTGCCAAATACGGTATGAATCCAACATATGTTAGCATGAGTTAGTGAGGCATGCGATAGACATCATAACGGGCCGCTATTACCTTTTTTCACATGGGGGGGTGTTCAGTAAACACCGGGGAATAACCACCGGGGGGTCATGTTGAAGTTGTCCCTTCTTCGTAGATGCTGCATGACCGCGGCTTCTTTGACACCCCCAGAGAGCAAACAGGGAAGTGTCCGATACTTCAATTCGTGAATATGGCCCCCTTATCCCTAGCGTCGCAACTACCGGGCAGTCACGGCCCGTCATAGTACTTTTTGCAGATTCTGCGGGCAGCCACCAAAACAGTTGATGGTACCCCCTTGTTGTCCCACGCGGGGGGCCTATGTTGATGTCAGATGTTAACCATACTCTTCGTGTTTTCCATTGCACCCCCCTCCATGGGGGCTTAGGGACCTAGCCTCCCCCTGACACCCTTGGAAGGCTGCCAGAGGAGGTCAACGGAGGGCACATGGCTCTCTTGTCCATAATTCCTAAGAGTTCAGGTTGACTGAGCAGCCGTGAGCTTTTTGTTGATCCAGAAAATTTCGAGCGTTTAATCGGCAGAGGTAACATCCTCTGATGTACACGTCGAGGAGCGGACTCCGAAGGCGTATCTGTTGCCTCGCCGCGCTCGTGTGCGGAGCGCTGTTGATTCTGCGTTGCACCGAGAGGGAAAGTGTCCAGTCTGGGGTTCGGGAGGAGCGTTATGGCGATAGGCGGAACTCGTTAACACCCTCTTTGTGGTGCGCAAGCAAGAGACATCTCTTGCCATCTCATCACTGCAGGGTCAAGATCTCTTCGCTATCGCGTGGGGGTTTGAGCGAGATCATCAGTGGAACAATGAAAATTGCCATTTGAGGAGAGATGTGCACCTTCCGGTATTTGCGCGTCAAAGCGTGGTTCATACCATTGCTCTGGCGAAACAGCTGCACCCTTGAGGAACGCACCTGCTGTGGGCGTGAGTGATTAGGCAGTTCGCGAGCATGTGGTTTTGGGCACGTCTGGGCCTGCTGGGGCCATGAAGCTTCAGTACAGAACTCTTGTTGGACTATAGTCTCTCGTCAAGCTGTTTTATGAAGTAGTTTTCTGGTGTGCTTCGAGCTCCGATTCTCGCTGCAATACCGGCAAGCAACATGTGTTTACATACAACTGAAGTACAGTAGGCCATGTGCCCACATTTTTACGAGGGTATGTGTTAAGAAAAACGTGGTTGGCTGGCGTCAAGTTGCTTCCAGTGGCTTGGGCTGTCTTGAGTTTTTGAGTCGAGCTCACTTGTGTTTTGCTTGTTACACGAGTGCCCAGCATGCGTGTGTGTTGGCGTGATTTCTCAGCGCACATGCCGCAATTTGAATATTATACTGTTGACGATATACAGCTGAATTCTGGTTGGGGATTGCGGTTTCAGACGTATCTTGTGCCGGTCAATTAAGTCGAATGGGAGAGTGCGCCGAGGCCACTGCTCTGAGTACTTTCTCATCGCGCTTTAGGGGCGTTATGGACCGGGCTCTGCTAGGGACCCACCTATGATACTTGGATATGTTGATGGTACCCTCTTGTTGTTCCATCCGGGGGGCCTCTGTGGACGTCAGATCATTATAATAAACTCCATTGGGGCTCAGGGGCCTAGCCTCACCCCTCACATACTGGGCAGGCTGCCCGAGGGGGATCAACGGAGGATATATGGCTCTCTGTCCTTATATTTCACCTGAAAATCAAACAATGGCCGTGGTGACCGGGAACTCCCGGCGTTAGTTCGACGACGTGCAGATCCTCTGACCACATCGTAGCTGCGTCCGACGGGATCATGGTGCGGTTTCTCGAAAACGATGGATGGACGGTTGTGATGCAGTACCGTTGAATGATGATGGCGGATGTCAAATGATGCGATGGATGATGATGTCTGTGTGGCGAGTAGGGGCAGAGCAGGGGGGTAAAGCTCCACCAGCCAACACCCTAACATTCCTGTTTTCCGAAAGTATTTTACAACAACAATAGGACAGATAATGTTTTCGTTGGAGAAGAGAAATGAATTTCTCCAAAATTCATCGAGCGAGGAGGGCGGAAAGCCCCAACGGCCAGCAAACCTGAGATCTCACTCTTCCAAAATTTGCCGACAATCCTAGCCTAGAAAAGTGCGATTCCTGTCTCCGACATTCATTGAGCAAAGGGGCCGGAAGGCCCCACAGACCAACTTGACATTCATAAAATAAATCTTTATAGAACGAGAGAAAATATTCATTTTTTCATCATTTGGGAGGTGATGCACACATATTTTTCCGTAATGGTTCCGGATCAACAATACGACCTACAGCAAGACGGTGAAATGGTTGACACGAAAGAATGCATGGTCTTGTGATGCCTCTTGCTGCGCGCCCGACTGACTGCAGCGGAACAAGCTATTGATAAGTGCGATGTTTGGCTGGGGGACCTGCGATTGTGCTCTCCCGCGGAGCTGCTATCGTGATCTGCTCGGGCATCGTACGGCGATGGCCCAGAAACTGCTGGTAAGGGGGCGCCAGGCGGACGGCAAGGTTCTGCTGGAGAGATTGTTGAGGTCCAGTGTGGGCGTACCCAATAAACCTTGGGCAAGAAGGCAAACCGCCCGAGCAATGGGCCCAAACCACCCCGAGGATGGACGAACGTTTTCGAAATGTCGTTGTTGCGTCTATACGCAATACCGCGAGTACGAGCGGAGCATGGTTCTTTGCAACAGTGGGCAATCCATCAAACGTCTACTGCTCACTGTGTCTCAACTGCTGCTCCAGTCTACCCGGAAATGCTTGTCATGCACCTACTTTGATGGAACCGAACTTCATGACCATGACGTGGGCGAGGCTCTGGCCAAACATACTGAGCGTCGGACGGACGTTGCTATTGAGCCCTCAATTGCGGCCGCCTCGGTGTGTCGCATGGTAGCCACGGGGACTGAGACAACTACTGCTGTAGATCGGATGGACGCTTGTTCATGAAAGTTCCCTCGAGCCGTTCGTCGAAAACCCGAGTGCTGAACGTACTTTTTGCGACTCTGCCGGTGTGTTCAAGAAGGATCTGGTTGCTGTTATTAGCAAAGAAAGCAGTTTTGGCAGGTCTGTCTCCGCCCGAGTGAATTTAAGCTCCAGGTGGGAAGCAAGCTCGTCATACGAGGTAGCTGGAAGCTCAACCCTGAGCTAGTCTTTGAAATCATTGGGGACGTTGCGGTCGACTGGCGCACGGTTGAGCTTTCAGACAGACAGCATGGACGATCGCGTGGTGACGGCGTTCAGGCTCGTCAAAAACCGTCTCGGCAACACACGTGGGCGAAAGTGGACGCGCCTGATGGAACTGGCTGTGCAGACGCTTCTCCGTCTGCCGAGTTTGTTACGTGTTCCACGTGCAAAAAACCGAACCATGCCCCGCAGAATTGTTCCGTGCAGCGATTCCTCGCCAAAGCCTCTAGTGTGCTGGGCATAGGAATTGTTTTCATGTCGCCGGCAATGCCCGTGGATATCAGCCGCAACAGCCGCAGCAGCAGCAGCAGCAGCAGCAGAACAGCAGCAAGGGGGCACGCGCAGCATCGTCAGCGCCCTCACCGTCAACTGCTTGCTCAGCAGAATTTTCCAGGAGGAGGACGTGGCTCCGGCGAGGGCATCGTCCACCAACTTCCACCAACGCCGTATCGGTGGTGGGGATGTTTTTGCGGTAGTACCCCAGGGAGAGGAGGTTCCAACACCATTTTCGTCCCTGGACCCGTCTCCGTCACCTGTCACTGCCCCCGCATTCTTTCCAGCGCCAACTGAGGGTTTGAGGGTGCAACTCGGCCCTGAGGGGTATTTCGTGTCGGCGTTTTCAAACTTCAGCCCTGAGTTTTTTATTTTTTTGCTCCCATAGTAGGACTCTGTCGTCTGCCCCTCTGGCCCGTATCCTCCACTTCTACCAGCTAGAGGACCCAACCGGGGTCACATAGGAGGGGGGGGTTGGACCCCCTCCTGAGGTTCTTGCCTGAGATATTTTTATCGTGAGAAGGGAACAGCAATCCCTTCCATCGCGACTCATGAAGTTGATCAAGTTTACTAACAACGAGCTTGCAGCGCGTCGCTTCCAACGAAGATCAGGATTTAATTAGCGAGAAAAAACTCACTCTGTCGGGACTCGAACCCATGACCTGCTGGGACTCGAACCCATGACCTGGCTTTTAGCAGGCTGCAAAGCTACGCACTAGATAGATCACCTGGGCGACCCGTTACGTGCGGGTTCGATTCTATAGGTTTCACGGTTGACTCGCAGGAAAAATGACGCCGAAGGTGCTTGTCTGTGCCTGGTGCAGCCGACAAGACTGCCATAGACACCTTTGTGATTCTGGAATCTGGCTCGAGGCTCACCACCACGTCAGCTGATATCGCCAGTAGGCTGCAAGCTGATTTTCCCGATGTGCAGGTCATGGGGGGCATGCCAAACCCGGGAAAGCTGAAAGTAGCGGACGGCCGCCTGCTCAAGGTCACACAGAAGGACTCTCCCAGCAGAACCATGCTATCCACCCGGCGCCCCTCTGGCAGCGGTGGACAGCGTCTTTTTGCCATCGCGCCGTGCGATGCCCGGGCAGATCAGGCTTGTAGCTCCGTGGGGGATAAGGACAGCAGGTCCCCCAGCCTTTCCTCCCACTCATCAGCGAAGCGGGAAGGTCAAACGAAAGCTTGTGCTACTACCGTCACGACAAAAATTCGTTGACTCTGACTGACCCTGATCAATCAGGCTGAGTTATCGATAACTTCCTTTCCTCCCACTCATCAGCGAAGCGGGAACGCCAAACGAAAGCTTGTGCTACTACCGTCACGACAAAAATTCTTTGACCCTGACTGACCCTGATCAATCAGCCTGAGTTATCGATAACTGTCGACATGCCCGAAATCAGGCAGGACCTAGGACCAGAATCCTCCCCCCGCGGCCTCGGGAGGCTGGTCGATTCACCACCTTGGTGATGATGACCAAAGTGTAATACTCCACAACATGTCTCTCTCTCTACCTTTCTCTATCTCTCTCGCTCCATCTATCTCTCTCCAGCATGCCAACCAGACATATAGAAACCCTAATAAACGATATCTTAGACATGCAGATATCCAAAGGGCAGCTGCTTCCCACCGTCAAGTACCGCCACCCAGGTGCGCTGTGTAGACACGTCTCAAATCAGGCACGGCCTATGACCCGTATCCTCCCCCCGTTGCCGCGGGGCGCTGGTCGATTCATCTCTTTGATGATGGTAAGGAGCATTATTTAACTCGAGTCTCATCTACACTCCCTTGCCAACACGGCAACCAGACAGACAGCAGCCCCATTCTACCATATCTTAGCCATGCAGATATCCAAAGGGCGTCTTCCGACCGTGAAGCACTGCTACCCAGGCGATCTGCGTCCACGTTGCTCCCAAAGCTGATTGCAACCGTTGTCGACAATAATCAGCTTGATTTCAGATGCAAGGCACCTGGCTATACTCAAGACAACCGACAACGGCGTTGGTGAATGATAATCACCCATACACGGCGATATCATCCCGGACTAATCTCCATTCCGCTAGTCAACGCATGTGTTTAACATACAGATAAAGTGTCGAATTCCCACATTCAATAGTGAAGCACGCAACGCTAGAAATGACTACAACACGCTAATGACAACGACCAAACTAACTTGGCTAAGGCCGTACGCTTGCAAAAGAAAAAAATACGAAGTGGGCGGACGACCAACACACCGCAAACAACGTAAAATAATCATGTGTGCCACACGCAGGGAAAACAACGGGATAATCAACGCTGAAAACAGTTACTCTGAAAACCGTTACGAGGCGCTTCCAGGGTGGTGCTCGGAAGACAAACAAACATGTTGCCACCATCCGCACGATCGTCGAACAAACCAGTTTCACGAATTTGAAACCGTATGAAAACCCCGAAGAAATGCCACCACACGATGTCAGACGGCGGCTTCCACGCAGTGCAACCACACGCAAACATCGGACCAGCCAAGACGATCCCGAACACTAGGCAATGAGGTCGACAGTAACCTACCAACACACACATGCAAGGGTCAGGCACGCCACAGCCAAACCATTATTGGGCACGCTGGAGAATGTACACGAAGTAGCTAGCGAAGACCTGCTACCAAAATACTAAACAAGATAGTCTTCACTCAACTCAAGCAAATGAAACACAAATACGAAAGAAGTCAGCCAAGAAATGCCGTCAATACGCAAACATGACGGCCCTTGCTCAACTTAGACCGACATATTGCAAGGGATATATGGACAAGAGCGTCAGATGCCCTCCGTTAAACCCCTAGGGCAGTCTCTCCAGAGTACTGCTCCCCCCGAACGCCAGATTTGGCAGCTTTTGCTCGGAACGCGAACTCAGCGAGGCAACAGATAAACCTCTGGAATCCACCCCTCCACGTGTACGTCCATTCTAGTTCCCCCTGCTGCTTAAACCCTCGAAAATAATCTCTATCAACAAAAAGCGCACGGTTACCCAGGCATGCTGTATTCTACAAAACTATAGATATGAGAGCCACAATCCCTCCGTTAACCACCAGGGTAGCCTCCCTAACGTGTGAGAGGGGAGGATGGTAGGCCGTATCACGCAATATCTTAATTTATAATGTTAGAGATTCGGCATTCATCATCGCTTGTGTCTCGTGAACGAACAGTTCAAATCTAAACATATCGGCAGCGTTCGGCTGAAAGATATCATGGCATCTACGAACGGCAAAGAAATGCCCATGAACTTCGCAAACCGCATCTGTCCAAGTCGTATAACACAGTCGAAGCTTCACTCTACATTATCAAATGGCTTGGAACATGCATAACACCTACGTTTGGATTCGCGAGTGGTGTCAACGAAACGCAAGCCCCGCACATCGTCCTCAACACGCGAATTCGCTCCACACAACGTGGACGCAAATTCGAGCGTACAATGTTGCACACTGGAGTACACAGTGGAAAGTGTGCAACCAACCCTTGCAAAACAGACCGGCAAAATTGAAAACGAAGTCACCCAGAATACGGATATTATACTGTATTGCTACAGATTCGGCAAGAATGTAGACTTCCCGAAAATCAAACACCGAAGGTATGAACTCGGGTTGTTTAGCGGTTTCTAAAATGATCCCTTCATCCAAGAAGACTCCTTTATTCTTCACCAGAGATCACACGCCAACAAGCACATGCGCTCCAATAATGAGACGCTTCAAACAACGACATTTCACTGCACGAAAATCAAACTTCGCCTCGGAAAACGAAGACAGATGTTGTCTGTGTATATAATACGACACGCTACGGTGGCAATCATACGCTCAACGCACTGTACGTGTCGGAAAACGTTGCTTACGATCACAGCAAGTAGACAGGCAACATCGCACGTGACGCGACGCTAGCCTCAAATCTTGTGTAAAAACAATAGTTCGAGTTTCCACGCCCGCAGTTGACATTAGTAAATGGATTCATGGGTATGCTCGTCGCAATGGTCAAATCTGGACTCATTCGACTAGGGATACGGACTTGCAAACAATGGCATCTCTGCTATATAACGTTGAGACTCTTGCTCGGTAAAGTGGCCTTCGTAACATGCACACGCTATAAAACGCCCCATGATAGTAATGCGCTGAGGTGATTCTCAGAGTTGTGGCCTCACTGACGGGCACAAGACTACGTCTACGCCGCAATGCCCAAACAGGAACTCAGCGGCATCTCGCCAATTGTATAATGTTCAAAAATGTGGCATGTGTGCTGTAAGATCACGCAAACACACACGCATGCTGGGCACTCGTTTAATAAGCAAACACAAGTATGCTCGACCCAAAAACTCAAGACAGCGCAAGTAGAAGAAGTCCTGGTCGAGATTCCGCCGCATTTTCGGGGCGCAACTTTGCGCTACAGCAATAGTATAAACCACGCGCAAGGTTTAGACGCGTGAATACCGTAAGATGTCGCACCTCTTCTGTAATGGCAACTTTCGCCGTCCCACTGATGATCTCGCTCAAACACCCGCCAGATTGCGAAGAGATCTTGACCCTGGAGTGATGAGATTTATGTTGCTGGCGCACCGCGAAGAAGGTGTTGATGAATCCCGCCTACCGCTTTGACGGTCCTCCCGAACGGCAGACTGGAAAGCTTCCCCCTCGGTGCATCGCAGAACCATCACAACTCCAAACGCGAGCTCGGCGAGTCAACAGAGGCGCCTCCGGAGGCCGCTCCTCGACTTGTACATCCGAGGTAGTCCCCTCCGCCGCGTCAAAGCTCGAAAAAAATCTGGATCAACAAACAGCTCACGGCTGCCCAGGCAACCTGAATTCTAAACCATTTGGACCCTAACTGGTCCTGGTCGGTCAACCTGGCTTATCGATATTTGTAGACACGCCTGAAGTCAGGCAGAGCCCAGGACCAGTGCCCTGCCCCCGTGGCCTCGGGGGCTGGTCGGTTCACCTCCTTGTTGAAGGTAAACAGAGTGTATCATTATCATGAGACGTCAACAGAGGCCCCCCGCATGAGATAACAAGGGGGTATCATTCAAATCTCCAACTACCATATCTGGACCCCTAGTAGAGAGCCCTGTCCACAGGACTCCGTACAAAGGCGGTCCGTTATCGGCAACAATCCTTCACGGCCCCGTCTATGACATGAGAAGTTTCAGTGTCGAAACTCGCCGGCTATCGTGCGCCACCAGCATGTAGTCTCCCACCACGATTACAGGTAGAGGCGAACGCGCGCCACTAATACGTCATCCCCCACCAAGAAGTCAGGTAGAGTCCCGCTAAGCGCAGACGCTCGGTGCTTACTCCTACTCGCCTCAATCTTGTCGAGAGTTTCCTTGGGCAGTTGACGCTGGGCCTCGAAGACACGCTCACCTTTAGCCGCGAAGCCTTTTCTCTCGTCCAGGCAATCCACTCTTCATTCGGCGCCCAAACCTTCAGCACACCCAAGACCTTACACTGCGTCAGGAGATGCTACGCGGTCAGGCGGGCTGTGCATGCCTCTGTGGGCTCCGGCCAAATCTAGTTTGAATGCCGTTCATCATGACCAAAATGTATTTGAGCCTTCTCTACCTGTCCAAGTCATCTTCCCACAGCGGGCCACTCGTCCCCACGTAGAAATAGTCCAAATGAACAACTTTTGCCAGGACGCGTGCCAGAGGTGTCTCTCCCCAAACGCGAGGCACCTTTTTCCCTTCGGTGGAATCCATGCCATGCAGGCACTGCGAAGTCGGTGAGGTGCTCTTTCCATCCAACGCCAAGAACAGTACTCGCTCGGAGAACCGCTGCAAGGTGAAGAGGGCCCCGCGATGCCCAGCTTCTTTCATGTATGCACAGACCACCAGTCACATCTGTAAAGCACCTGCTTGATCTGGGATCTAAAACACGTCACGTCCGTTCATGTCCATGCGAAACAACCTCTCACTATGCAGAGTGGCCGTCCCCACCCCGCCGCCGTCAAAAATGACATGAGGAGTCCAGCAAGCGCACCGAGCTTGCTCGGCACCGAGCGTTGTGCATCACGTGCTGCTTGCTCCGACGCCATAGTGGCATCAGGTTCGATGGGAGGGTAGACCGCGGTAGCACAACGACTTACCGACGGACGGAAGAGAAACCCCACGGAACAGAAGGTCCCCCCAGCAATTGTGCTCACCAATGATGTGCCTGAAGTGTACTTGCCCAAAACAGCTTTCCGCTGGTCGAGGCTCTGAAACGTAGTTTTCGCTACGGAAAACATGTGAGCCTCAGAGTCAAAGATGTACGCGAGATTTCGGTGGTCTGTGAAGATATGCACGCCATCCCGAAGCAAATACTCCAACCACTTGAGCATAGTCACGATCACTTACCCTTCCTTTGTCCACCGTGGCCCACCGCTGCTGCGCCCCGTTGATTGTGCTGCTCACAAACCCCATCGGGTCGTGAGCTATATCCTCCACAGGAGCGCCACGGCTCAGCCCGTCTCGGGGCACTTAGATGAAAAAATTCCGATGTCTCATAGAAACCATGGAGGAGCACAAGCACGGCGTAATCTGAGCGAGGGTGAGACGAGGCAACAGCGCGCTCATGTCTGTTGCTGAAACAGTTTTGGACGAGCTTGAACGCCGGCACCATAAGATTGATTGTCCACGCTGCCTGTTTGCAAAACTCTACTCCCCCGACGATCTCAAAGACTAGCTCAGGGTTGAGCTTCCAGCTACCTCGTATGACGAGCTTGCTTTCCACCTGGAGCTGAAATTCACTCGGACGGAAACAGACCTGCCACAACTGCTTTGCTAATGACAGCAACCAGATCCTTCTTGAACACACCGGCAGAGTCGCAAAAAATACGTTCAGCACTCGGGATTTCGACAAACGGCTCGAGGCAACTTTCATGAACAAGCGTCCATCCGATCTACAGCAGTAGTGGTCTCAGTCCCCATGGCTACCATGCGACACACCGTGGCGGCCGCAATCGAGGGCTCAATAGCATCGTCCGACTGACACTCAGTATGTTTGGCCAGAGCCTTGCGCACGTCATGGTCATGAAGTTCGGTTCCATCAAAGTAGGTGCGTGACAAGCATTTCCGGGTAGACTGGCGCAGCAGTTGAGACACAGTGAGCAGTAGACGTTTGATGGATTGCCCACTGTTGCAAAGAACCATGCTCCGCTCGTACTCGCGGTATTGCGTATAGAAACGCAACAACGACATTTTCGAAAACATTCGTCCATCCTCGGGCGGCTTGGGCCCATTGCCCAAGGAAATATCGGTACGCCCACACTGGATCTCATCAATCTCTCCAGCAGAACCTTGCTGTCCGCCGGGCGCCCCCTTGCCAGCAGTTTCTGGGCCATCGCCGTACGATGCCCGAGCAGATCACGATAGCAGCTCCGCGGGGGAGCACGATCGTAGGTCCCCCAGCCAAACATCGCACTTATCAGTAAAGCGGGAAAAAACGCGGAGGAATAGCTTGTACTGCTACCGTCACGAAAAATACCCTTCTGACCCTGACTGACCCCGGTCGATCAGCCTGACTTATGATAGCTGGAATCAGGCAGAGCCTAGGACCAGAATCCTCCCCCCGTGGCCTCGGGGGGCTGGTCGATTTACCTCCTTTATGATGGTAACCAGAGTGTATTATTCCACACACGTGTCTCTCTCCCTCTATTTGTCTCTCTCTCTTGCCAACATGGTAACCAGCTAGAAACCCTACTCTAGCATATTTTGGACACGCAGGTATCCAAAGGGAGGGTTTCTACCGTGAACTACTGCTACCCAGATGGACTGGGTCTACATACCCTCCGTTGACCCCCTAGGGCAGCGTCCTCGGGGGGAGGCTATTCCCCGAAGCCTCTAAAGGGGGGGTGGAACCAAAGAGGAAGCAGGAAAGTATATGTCGTTCAAATGTCAAGAGAGGTCTCCGGCAAAGGAACAACAAGGGGGTATCATCAACATCTCCAACTACCATGTCTGGGCCCCTAGCAGAGCCCTGTCCACAGGCCTAGCCTCCCGCTTTACATGTTGGCGAGGCTGCCCTAAAGAGTCAACTGAGGGCATATGGCACTGTTGCCAATAGTTCTTTAGACTTCAGGTTGACTGGGTCAGTGTGAGCAGTGTTGTTGCCGCAATGAATTTCCGGGCGTTGAAGCGGCAGAGACACCTGCATTTCGGATGTACACGTCAAGGAGCGGACTCCAGGGGGCGTCTTTGTTGCCTTGTCGAGCGCGCGTGCGGAGCTGGATTGGCTTTGCACTGCACCGGGAGCGGGAGGGTAAACCGCCAAGTCCGGTGAAGGAAAAAGATGGCATGATTCTCCATACTAAATACAAGTAACATATTGGCGGGAGTAGTTTCAACCTCTGTTATGACGCATATTGGCGGGAGTAGTTTCAACTTATCGCATATTGAATGAACAATTAGCGTTTACCTTCGCGAGTACACCTTACATTGTTGCTGACTGATTTCATTTAGATCATGCTCGACGCCAAGTCAAGCACGACTTCTGGTTGTTGGTGTTTAGGAGCCGCCTACCTGAAAAATGTGTTTTAGGCTGGCGAAAGATCTACGACTATTAACGTGGTGTCGAGAGTACTGACATAACGTGGCCGTGTTCATCAGTAATGAGGGCGTTCTTCGTGATAGTACGTAAGATTGCTGGTCAAGGTTTCATGGGATACTTTGGGACGATTGTGTGAGGTTTTCATATGCTTTTACGTACAAGGCTGTTAAGCTAGTGTTGCTCAGGCGATTTGACCGCTCATGGCAAGTGATCCTTCCATGCTCGCGCGTTGTCCGTTGTTAGGCTTGTCGTCAGAGCCCAGTTTGTCATCAAACAGCGATGCCCTTTGGTGGCGATGCGGACAGGCTCCGCTAGAGCCTCAGACTTGGTAGTTGGATATATGTTGATCATACCCCCCTCGTTGTCTCATGCGGAATGACCCTGATGACGTCTGGACATGAATCAATCTTCCGCTTCTATTCCCTTGTACCCTTCTCTATGGGGGCTTAGATGCCTAGCCTCCCCCCACCCTGACAGGCTGCTTTAGGGGGTCAACTGAGCACTTATCGCTCGCTTGCCTGCTGTTCCCACGCGAAAATCAAAAATCGCTGGCAATGTATGGCGCATGAATGACCAAGCCCTCAGCGTAGGTCGATCAGGCTCGGCCGCTGCCACTTTTAAACGCTGGCCTCGGTTCTACAAGGTATGGGGCATCACAATGCTTGAAGTCCCCATTCAAAGTGGTCGTTCTCTTCGCTGCGCTGGCAATGCTTTTGCGAATTTTCCCGATTTGCCGAACTTAAACAACGATGTTTGACAAGGTTTGCTTCGAAGGAACTTGTAATACCCCCAACTGATCGTTATCAACCAACTCTCGCTCTGCCTAAACAGTTTAATGGTATGTATTCTGCCCGGTTCCCTATTTTTCTTTGAATGTTCGTACATCGCCCCTTTGCCTGCGGTGCTCTCTTTCATCCACTGCGGAGAGATCTTGTAACATTTACGAATTCAGACTGACTGGGCTGTGCAGCTGTAAGCTATGTTGTCACACCACAATTTTTTCAGCATGTGTGGGTTATCCGCGCCCGAAAGCGTGACTTCGTGGCAAATCTGTGCCCTAACTGCGGTTTTCACCTTCGTTTCGCGACGAGATAAACTGCATGCCGTCTCGTTGGAATCCCCGCGGTACGGGGCGCGGAGTTGTGAGTTTTCTTTTTCATCTTGAAACATGCAGCCCCATGCGGCGCAGTTTGAACCGCACCACACCGTTCGAAATAAAAATACCGTGAATAGTTGGTGACCTCGTCATTTTAAAAAGGTCGACGGTTGAATCTGCACTTGTCTCTTCCGATGTTACTCCCAGAAACAGAAAGCACTTACCAGTGAGTACCCGTAAACGAAGGAAGGGAATGGTGAACTCGTCGTCAAAAAATCTTGGTTGTAACCAGGGGTGAGGGGTGTAATCATAGTCGTGCATGCCACAGCGGTAAGACCATTGACCTCGCATCCTTACAAAGCTGGGACGGAGTACAACGGGTTCTCACTGGACCAGGCTCTCACATCACCAAGCGCGAAGCACCGTGAGATATTCGGCGAGTCGAATGAAGGGTGCGCTGCATCCTAAGGGTATACATCACCTTGTGCGTACTTTCTTGCGTACGGATGACAGCTGCGTATGACTTAATCTTTTTTTCTGTGGCTTTCACTTTCAGAGATAGTAAAAAGCATTGTGTAACTGCCTCGAGGGTGCTTAACCTATTTCACACAACGTGGTGCAATCATCCCTCTCTCGCAGTGAGGTTTCTCGACCCCGCACAAAATTATCTACATAATCTACTCGACTATCATTCATGGTAGACGGTTCTCGACCCCGCACAACATAACCAACTCGACCACCATTCATGGTTACTGCAGAAACAAACCAAAGGCAAAATAAGAGGGAGGTAAAATGGTTTCCGAGCTCACGAAGTGATCGGCTTGTTTAACAACATCGCTGCCAAGCGACGAAAACCCAATCCTGATAGCGAACAGCGGGGGGTGTTGTACTCATAGTCGTTCATGGCGTAGTCGTTAGACCATTGACCTCGCATCCTACAAAGCTGGGACGGTCCACGCCGGGTTCTCACCGGACCAGGCTCTCACATCACTAAGCACGAAGCACCGTGAGGTATTCGGCGAGTCGAATAAAGAGTACGCTGCATTCTGCTGAGGGTGATCGTATTCTTGTGCTTCCTTGCGTACGAATGACAGCTGCGCATTACCTGTTTCATTTTCTGGTGCTTTCACTTCAGTTAGATGTAACTGCCTCAAGGGTGCTTAGCCAATTTTAACATAACGTGGTGCGATCATCCCCTCTCGCGGAGTGGGGATTCTCGACCCCGCATAACATTTTCTACTCGACCACCTTTCATGGTTACCGCGAAAAAAAGAAACCGAAGGCAAAAAAGGAAAAAGCGGTAACCTGGTTGCCGAGTTCATGAAATGGTCGGCTTATTAAAACACCGCTGCCACGTGATGAAAACCCAACCCCGATGGTAAACACCGGGGGGGGGGGCGACTTGTTTTACAACAACGTTGGCAAGCGACGAAAACCAAACCCCGATTGCAAATACCGCCCCACTAACCAAGGGGAGTTATTCTATGTGATCCCGGACCAGAGGTCTTCAGTTAGAAAAGCAAAACCGTCTGGTACTGAAATATTTATTCATAAATGCCCGAGGATAGCCCGGGCCTCAAGTGAACGAAGACATGCCGACACGCCTGAAATCAGGCAGGGTCTAGGACCAGAATCCTCCCCCCGTGGCGTCGGGGGGCTAGTCGATTCACCTCTTTGGTGATGGTATGCAGTGCATTATTTCACACACGAGTCTCTCTCTATATATCCATCTCTCTCTTTACTGCCTCCATGCCAACCAGACAGAGGGATACCCCAATCTATCATATCTTGAATATGCAGATATCCAAAGGTGGCTTCCCACCGTGAACTGCTACTACCGGTGGGCTGCGCCCACAATGCCCCCAAAACTTTAAGCTACGGAATGGAACCAATCGATTTGGTCTCAAAAAGTAGGCACCTGGTGTTTGCAAGTGACAAACACCCAAACGCGGCAATATCATGCCGGATTATTGTCACTTCAGTTCGTTAGTCGGCCAGGTGAGCTGTGTACACCGAGATCTAATGTATAGTGGCGACCAATGCGAGGTGGACACGAGAGCCATATGCCCTCTGTTGACCCCCTATGGCAGCCTCCCTCGGGTGTGATAGGGAAGTCTAGGCCTGTAAGCCCCTACAGAGAGGGTAGAGGGGAAGAGTATATGATGTCCAGACACCAACAGTCACCCCGAATGAGACAACAAAGGGGGTATCATCAACGTATATAACTACCGTATCTGAGGCCCTAGCGGAGCCCTGCCCACCTTGCCAACAAAGGGCATCGCTACTCCTGAGTAGAACCCGATCAGCTTGAGAACAATGGGCTCTGACTACAAGCCATATCACGAACAAAGCGCGAGCATGGAAGAATCACGTGCCATGAGCATTCAAATCGCCTCAGCAACAACAAGCATGACAACCTGGTACACAAAAGCAGTTTTTCAACGTCACAAAAACGTCAAGTCCCAAAATTATCCTACAAAACATTGACAAGCAAGGAATCATGGACAAGAGGCCATATATATGCCCTCCGTTAACCCCTTGGCAACCTCCCCCGGGTGGAGCGGGGAAGCTAGGCCCCTAAGCGCCCACTCGTAGAGGGAGTTTGAAGGGGAAACAAAATGTTGTATGTGCAAACGTCAACAGAGTACCCCCGGATGAGACATCAAGGAAGGTTACCATCCACATCTCCAACTACCATATCTGAGCCCCCCAGCCGAGTCCCCCCTCCCCCGGTGGGGTTGGGTTTTCCCCCCCCCGGTGTTTGCCATCGGGGTTGGGTTCTTGTCGCTTGGCAACGACGTTGTGAAACAAGCCGCCCCCCTCGGTGTTTGCCATCGGGGTTGGGTTCTTGTCGCTTGGCAACGACGTTGTGAAACAAGCCGCCCCCCTCGGTGTTTGACATCGGGATTGGGTTTTCGTCGCTTGGCAACGACGTTGCGAAGCAAGCCAAATCACTTCGTGACGTCGGCAACCAGGTCACCGTTTTTTTTTTGTCACCCCTGATTTTTTGGGCAGTAACCATAATGGTGGTCGAGTAGATCATGTTGTGCGGGGTCGAGAACCCTCACTCCGCGCAAGGGGGATGATCGCACCACGTTGTGTTAAAATGGTCAAGCACCCTCGAGGCAGTTACACACAGTGCTTATAGCTGTCTCTGGAAGTGAAAGCACCAGTAAAAAAATTAAGTCATACGCAGTTGTCATCCGTACGCAAGGAAGTAAGC